TACCTTCTCCATCCTGTCCTTCTCCTGGAAAAGCCGAGCTGGGAGACCCCAGGTTCATTACAGGCGTTAGCAGAAGACCTTGCTGAGCCCACACAGATGCAGCTCTCAGCAGTTTCCAAGAGCCACAGCTCTTGTCGTTTATCCAGACTGAAAACCGGGGAGAAAAATCATCTTTTTTTCCTGTAGTAGGTACTTGAGAAGAGGTTGAGCTTCTTCCAGTAGAATATTTTGGAGTAACTTGGCCCTCATTTCTCCTGGTCAGCGGGATGGCACCATGCAGGACCTTTCCAACACCTGCAGGCTTCCCAACCCTGCTGCCGGATCCATTCCCCATCCTCCTCCTCCCTCCTCTGTCTCTCCCAACATCCCGGCTCAACCAGCCCCGCTTCAACTTACTGCAGCTCCTGTCATCTCCTTGCAGCTCCCCAAGTGCCGATGGAGAAGGGGACCATGGCAAAAGATCACGGGAGGTGAGTGGTGGCATGCATGAGTCTTCTCTCAGTGTATAACTGGGCTCTCCGGAGCTGAAGGTCAAGTTTGGACCCATCCATCTCATCCCTTGAGTTCTCCAACGGGCAGCCAACGTTTTAACGAAGACCTTCCATGATAAAACCCGTTGCGGCAGAGCTGACTTTGATCGTTGCATTCCTAAAGCGGAGCGGGGGGCTGAGCCCCAAGAAGAAGAGGAGGAAGAGGAAGATGAGGACTTTGCCGAGGACGATGACCTCACCTACACCGATGATCTGCGCGATGAGAACTACCACCCATCTCTGGACAGGTGAGGATCGCTTAGAGCCGCTGGGAAGGAGCCCATGGACTGGGACCACATGAGAGCCAGTCCACAGGTTCCCAGTCACGCTGTCCCAGTCCAGACGGGTATCACACTGGGAGGGTTTCAGACCTTACATCTCTGCCACCCTCTTGTCTTGCTACAGCTGACCCTAGCAGAGATGGGAGGAGATGGGAATAATGTCCTTATATCCTAAATAAGTTGTTTCTGAGCTCAAAAGGGCACAGACTTTTGGGGAGGCACCTTTTTTCACTGTATCTCTGCCTGGGTGAGGGTCCAACCAATGTCCGACCACGTCCAACCAATGTCCAACCACGTCCTACCACATCCAACCATCTAAACCATCTTGCCTATCCCCCGTCTGTCTTCTCCCCCAGTGACTCTGAGCTGCAGCGACGACAAAGCCAGACCAAAGCTCGGAAGAAACCCGTAAAGGAGGAGCAACCCCTGAATGAGCCGAGCCTGACCAGCTCCAGCCCATCGGAGGAGAAGGTTGGACGAGTCAGGTGAGTTGTGACGGCCGGCATCAATGTGGTGACGCTGGGGACGGGCATCGGGGTGCCTGTCTTGGAGCATCCGTCTCTCCGTGGCCACTGAACCAGCGTTTTGGGGCTTGTTGGAGATGATGCCGCTTTCCGTGCTGAGAAACCAGATGGAAACCATCCAACCCAACAATAAATGATACTCAAACCCTGAGCTCCGGGCAGGGTGAGAGCCGCGTGTCCCCAAGGGGGTTTAATCCGTCGTCCGCAGGGCAGCGCTGCGTTGCTTGGCCTCGTTGGGTGTTGGAGCTTGCAAAGGGGAGGGTCTGGCACGTCGATCTCGCTACGAGGGGGGCTTAACGAGTCTTCATTTCGTCCACCGTGTCTCTCGTGGAGCCGGTCCTGGGGAGCAAGGACGTGCTGCTGGGGCAGAGGTGGCTGCTGGAGGGGGACAAAGACCCCTTAAACCACCACCGTGGTGGGCGTTGAAGCCTCTGAGCAGCCTGGAGGTTGCAGCAGCAAAAAATCCATACGTCCCACCCCTCCACCCCCTGCATAAGCACAGACTGCTGTCTCCACCTATAGATACAGGGCTTCTCCAGCAGCCAGAGCAGCTCTATATGGCCCAGCTATATTGCCCAGCAGCTCAAGCCCATGGGGAGACACGAGTAGCAACGGCACCTCAAGCGTTGGTCAAGGGACAGCTTGATAACGACCACGATGATTTAATTTGCAAGCGGTCTTTGCCACCGCCTGTTTGAGGCTGAGGGTTAGGTTTTAATCTCTCCTTCCCAGCCACGTGGGCTCTAAACTCACTTTCCTGTTCTAAATAAGCTCAAATCATCACTCAATTATTCGCTGCGTCTTTATGCAAGACTATTAAATAGAGGTTGGTCACAAAAGGATGGTCCATGCGCTGCCTCTTGGGTCTGACGCACAAGGAGATGGCACCTTGCTGGATTTTCTTACGCTTTTAATACGACGAGGGCGTTAAAACCCCCTTTTTCGTTGGAGTTAGCCAGAGCGACCACGTAACACCGCCTTGTAACGCATCTTGCCTTCGTGTTTCCTACGAAAGACGGGACCGGCAGCAAAACACACGCCCCAAAACTCACCGCGTAAGTATCCTGCTGCTCCGTTAAGGCTTTTATTAATTTGCTTTTCACTTTGAAACAGTATCGCTGCATCTTTTCGGTGCTTAACACCCTTCCCGTCTCCTTGCAGCTCTGAAATCGCCTCGCTGGAAGAGCGAACGTCCTCCTGGAGACCCAGCGAAGGAAAACATGACGGTAAATCTGGCGTTTGCTTTTCTCCTCTCCCTGCCCACCGCTGGTCACGTAGCACCGGGGGACACCAGGCTCTTAAATTCGAGGGTGGAAAGGTTTGGGTTAGCTCTAGGTAGTCCTCGTTAAGGCCAAAAGGGAATTCCAAGAGGGGTTTTTCACATCCCTCTGGCATTTTTTTGGGTCCTGCATGCTTTCCGTTCAAAATCCCGGTGTTCGGACCTCCAAAAGATGCACCTAAGGACCACTGGAGATTTGCAGAAGTGGCTAATGAAAGCGGCCGTTGACTTTCCTGGGCAACCAGTGCGATCTTGGAGCTTTTAGCCCCCTCTCCAAAGCCCTGCCTAAACTTTAAGTCGGTGCTGCCCTTTTTAAGGCTGAGCTTAGTTACAGAGATCATATTTACAAGCGTTTGATTAATTTTTTTTCCCCTCTTTTGTTGCAGCAACCGGAAGAATGGAAATAAAAGACTATTTTATCAGCAAAAGTGAGAGCCTCCAGACTTCGGTGTGTTCATCCTCTTCTCGCTTCCCAAAGGTAATGCCACCGTGAGCTAAGAAAACATTTTTAGGAGATTGTGGACAAAGATGCCCAGCCCCTATTTTTATTCTGTGCTGAGGATGTGGTTTGGCATCGTCGTCTATTAACGATCTCTTTATTTCTCCTCCCCACAAAAGGATGCCTGGTTTTTTTTAACATACCTTTCTTTAATTTCAGGATGTCAGTCCAAAATAGCTGCTGTTTCCACGGAGCTGCGGATAAATTATAGATCAAACGAGGCTGGCATGAGGTTGACAGCAATCTTAAATATCCTGGGACATATCCAAAACCATGTGAAAGATCTTTTGTAATGAGTAATAAAGAATATACTCCTATTTATAATGTCTGTGCATTTGTTAACAACATCATTTCCTGCTCCGATGGGGAGAAATATTGGCGTGAATTCCCAAAATGGAAGAAATAAGAGAAATGGTCACCCAGAGGATGCTTTTAACGTAGGGTTTGCTTGGAAACTCATCAGCTGCAAGGTTGGAGGACCACAGCTTCTCGGCTTTGTGCTTGGGGACAAAGAGAGGGGACAAAAGCCTCACTCGAGACCCTTCTCTCCCATTGCAGCTGCAAGAGGCGAGCGCAGCCGTGCGACGAGGACGTGGCCCAGATCGGCCCGAAGAGGATCAGGTACCTGGGGCCGGTGGGGAAGGGGAAGCTGCCGCGCCGATTCCCAGCCCCTCGGGAAAACGAGAAGGTGACGCTCAGCCCTTCCGTGGTGGGACGCCCTCGGCGAGCAACACTTGCTCCGATAGGAGCGTTCTGAAGGGCTTTATTTGCTTAAATTAAGCTTTTGACGGCTGGCTAAGAGGGCAGATGGGTGAGGAGGACCTAGCGGGGTGCCAAATCCAAAAGCCACAGCTTTTTCGGCTCTCCTCCCTGCTCTTCCTCACCGACGATGGTTTTTCCACCCTCTCTTCCTGCAGGAAGGCGGCAAAGCGCGAGATCCTCCTGTGCGACTTCGAAGGCTGCGGCAAGATCTTCTCCAACCGCCAGTACCTGAACGTGAGGGTTGGGGGCAACCGTTGCGCTTAAATTCATCTCTCATGGCCCGGGAGGTGCAGCCGAGCTGGGCGCGAGCATCCCTCCCACTCCCAGGCTCTTCTGGAGCCACCAGAAGAGTGACCCACCCGTTGGGTCGGGTTTTGCTTGTCCAAGCTCCGTTTTGGGTATCTTGGCTGTTGTCCTAGAGCTGGAATTGGGCAACCTGAATTGCCCATGGCTTTCCGAAGCTGGATGATATGGGATTTGTTGGCCCAGCAGCAGCTCGGAGTGCCTGAGGTCGTTTGAAGTCCCACCACGCGCTTCAGGGAGTGAAACGGGGTGGGAGGTTGTCGCTGGAAGATGCCCTTGGGTTCCCTCCAAGTGCAGCGTCTCAGCGCTGACCTCCTCCTCTTCTTACTCCCTCTTTTTCTCCCCAAAACGGCAGCACCACAAGAAGTACCAGCACGTCCACCAGAAGACCTTCACTTGCTCGGAGCCCAGCTGCGGCAAGTCCTTCAACTTCAAGAAGCACCTCAAGGAGCACGAGAAACTGCACAGCGGTGAGTTGGCCACCTCGGCACGCGTACCCTACACGGATATATACCTCCCTATACCTCCTTTCCTGCGCTGGTCCCACCTCTACTGGGCTCCAGCTGATCGTACCCACATCCTCACCATTCACATTCGCATCCCTGGTAGATGTTACCGCACCCGTTTGCTTTCCGCTCCCAAGATCTACCGTCAATTTATCATCTCCGTGCTGGGAAAGCATCCTGCCTCCTAAAATACGTCCTGAAAGCCCCGAGTGCTCTTCTAGGCTGCATCAGCCCCTAATCCTTTTTTCTTCTGCCCCACAGACAAGCGGGACTATATCTGCGAGTTCTGCGCCCGTTCCTTTCGTACCAGCAGCAACTTGATCATCCACAGGCGCATCCACACAGGGGAGAAACCCCTGCAGTAAGTACCAGTCCCACCAACGCGACCGCTGACCCTCCGGTTGGCAGCAGGGTTTCTCCCTGTTGCTTTTCAACCCAAATTTAGCTTCTCGGTGCATGGGTGGGAGAGCGAAGTTTCTCGCTGTGGGTAGCCAGAGGACTTGCTGTTGTTTTTGCTTTGCCTAAAGGTTTCTGCCCCCACCGGGGCTGGCTGCGCTCTGATCCAGCAGCTTCAGGGCATGGGCTTGATTTGGAGAAGCTTAATGAGCTGGGATTTAACGAGAGCGATGCATTTCCTTGCCTGGAGGGTGTGCTGAAGCCGCGCAGAGCTAAGGCAGCGGTGCAGGGCGGTGGCTTTGCTAAGCCATGTAAAATTGCAGCATCAAGATGAGGCGGGGCCCGTTCTCCCTCATGCTTAATCCTTTGTAATACCTTTTTTTTTTTTAAATTCTTTTACGTTGAATCCTGTCCTGTTTTCTCCCAGGTGCGAGATCTGCGGCTTCACCTGCCGCCAGAAAGCCTCCCTGAACTGGCACATGAAGAAACACGACGCCGACTCCTTCTACCAGTTCTCCTGCGACATCTGCGGCAAGAAGTTCGAGAAGAAAGACAACGTCACTGCCCACAAAAGCAAAAGTCACCCCGAAGTGCCCGGCGGACCCCCCCAAGCCGAGGGGGGTCAGCGGCAGACGGCGCCATCCCCACCGCCCAACTTCAGCGCAGGGATGCGGGCAGGGCTGGAGCACCCGGAGGCACCCGGAGCGTTGGCCGTGGAGCCCCTGGAGGTGCCGGGGCTTGGGGACACCCTGGTGAGCGGTGGTGAAGCCGAGAAGACCCCACCTCTCAGCGCAGCCTCGGCTGAATATGGGGGGGATCCGGGTGCGCCCCGAGGCCGGGTGATAGACGGCGTTGGGTCGTAGCAGGACTCATCCTCCAGTTCTTGGCCGCAGAAGGGACCAGAGAGCAGGATGGGAGGACCGATGGGGCAAGGTGAAACGGTGCTGGACCCCGCGGCGCGTGGCAGAACCGTGTCCAGGTGCCAAAAATACAAGGGACAGGCAAAGACCAGCGCTTCCCGGGGGAAATCCCAGCTTCTCCGCCAAATCCTGGGCTTTCCTCGAGCTCGCAGCGGTGTTGCCACAGGCAGAGAGCCTCTTGCCCGGCTCCCTCGCTGCGAGGGGGGAGCGTGAGGTTGCCAAAGTCCTCAGCAGGATCCTCAATAAAGACTTATTTTGTGTAAAAGTGGGTTTCCCCGCTTGCGCCAGCTGCCTCGGCGCTGTTTCTATGAAAAACAGAGGTAGAAAAGTGAGATTTCCATGGGCGCAGCCTGCCTTGACACCCAGTCCAAAGGTTGTCTGTATTTAGCACAATAAAAAAAGGACGATTTAGGTCGGGAGGTCAATGGTAGGTGGAGGGGATTGAGGCTGTACCGGTTTTGGCCTCAGAAACAGGCATTATTTGATCCGGTGATGGTTTCCCAAGTCCTTTAAACCCCACTTGCCTTTTATTGAGCCTTTTTGGAAAGGACTGTAATATTTACGCAGCCTTGAAGGTTGCCAGCTCAACAGGGTTTAGCAGGAAAAAAAAAAAAACACAAACCCTGCAAGGGTAGGCTAGAAGATGATTTTGACACAGATAAAGGGGCTGCAGGGAGGACGGGGCTCACCGGAGCGGCTGTGGGAATCGGGGACACAAAATGGGGCTGGCTGTAGGAATTACAAGTCAGGCTGTGCCCTCAAATAGCACTTGTGGGGGGG